TAATTCTACTAGCGGGTCCTCCACCTTCTCAGTGCTGAGCTCTGCCCACAGTTGATTGCGCCCTGGAGAATGTTGTAGCCTAAGGATCATTTCCCTTAGGGGCTTTAAATAATGAACTATTCAGTTGGAATAATGAAGCGACAACTTTCAGCAAACATGGGAGTCATGTCTAGGCCATTCGTGAATATGTAGAAATAAAGAGTTCATTTATTTTAAGCATTGTTAATATTTCTATCTGTTCCACCTGTCCTCCCCCCCCACCCCCCCACCTCCCGCACTCCCCATGAAGAAAAGAAGGCCAGGGTAAACTTTAGAATTAAAAGAAAGAGATTTTTAATGAGTTAAAATTTTAAAAGAAAACTCTTTCGAACCTTGATAAACTAATGGTTCTTGCATTCAGCCCCTTTTGTCCTATCTTCCTGGTGGGCAGGTCCTTGGTCTGAATGAGGAGCGCCTGGCCCCCATTTCCCAGGTAGTCCCACATTTTATTGTCTCATGATGACTTTGGTTGGAATATATGGTTGCTGTAGCTGCAGCACATGGTTGACTTTAATAAGGATGCAAATTTAATAAATATTTGTATTTGTATGAAAGGCACGGACACACACAAATCACAAATAATCAAATTCTTGGGAAAACCTCCACCATCTGTTCATCAAGGGGAAGTGCCAGTGAGAGCTTGGACTAGCCAGCTGTAGAACTTTCCGGAAGATTTCCAAGTGGTTGGAATGAACACAAGTTACACTGTACAGAACTCTACATGTATATTGGTCTGGAGACTTAAAGACTGAGAGCGTTAATACATAGAGAGCTACACAACACACCAAAGCCCACTAGATCCACAGTAACAATAACAGTAATACACAGTGCTTTAGATTATTAAAATCTAGTCTATAATGCACAGAGAAGTACCTGGAAGCTGTTACATATAATATATGACAATTGGGATCTGTTTTCAGTGCAATATATCACATTTGGCAATTAATGGATAAAAAAAAAACACGCATTTTTTTTTTTTTGCTTTCAAAATGTGGAACAAACCAAAACATAAGGCTTTTCTGATAAGCTATAAAAAAAACTATAAACTATAAAAATATAATCAGCAGTTGGACTTGCTTGGATCAGACAAAGGATGCTTACCACACTTCCTTTGCATATTCATTCCACTTAGCTCAAACCTCCACAAAAAAAATAGATGTGTAGGATCATGTCCCCTTCCATGCAATTTCTGGTCAATATTATTATCCACTTGAAAGCATTCTGATGATGTAATTTACTCTCTATTTCTCCCCCCACACTTCTTCCCCCCCCCCCTCTTTGCTAAGAAAATACCAGGGAGGTATTAAACTTTTTCCATGGCTTTCTTTTAGTTTCCATTTTTGAGCCACCTCTTAAGTCTCAATGTTGTATTGTCTAGTAATTGTGTTGGATCATGAACATGGAAATCTGAAAATGTGGTTCTTAATGTTGTTTCTCTCTATTTTTCCCTTCCTTCCTTCCTTCCTTCCTTCCTTCCTTCCTTCCTTCCTTCCTTCCTTCCTCCCTTCCTTCCTTCCTTCTTTTCCTTCCTTTCTTGAATTCACTAAAGTATTTCCTAGGTACTAGCATTTTTACTTCTTATTTTAATGAAAGCTTATCTTTGTGGCCAACGTGAAAAGTGAAAATGTCTCCTTGAAATTCTATTTTACAATATAGACAGAGAGTTGGGCTTTGGGAAAGTTGAGTTTCACTTAAATACTATACACATTTGCTATCACACAAAGGGTGGGGGTGGGGCAGCAAAATAAATGGAACAATTACTTTTCATCCCTCTTTACACAAGAAAGGCTCTTCCCTACTGAAAAGGTCTCTTCGGCATCAGCTCCCAGAAGCCTGTGGAGAGGATGCGTTTCCCAGGGCTTTGAAAGGACCTCTTTTTCAGAGCACAGCCACTGCTCCCCGAGAGTCACATGGGTTGGATTCTCTTGTTCTTAGTTGAGCAACGAATAAGCACTGGATGTGTTTTCCAAGGATGAGCTGGTTGTTTCTGGGGTGGAAACATTGTAGGTTCCTGAAACACAGAACAGCAGCTTAGCCCAAAAGACCAGCCTGGGAGATCACGGAAGGGGTAGGGGGACTTCTTCTAAAGGCCCGAAGGGGAGCTCTAATCCAAGAGCCAGGTAAGCTCGCCGTGCCAGAATCAAACCCATGCCCACCCTCCTCAGTGCCCGAGAACAGACAAATCTGTCATTCTCAAGCATGCGAGGCAGCCGACAAGACAAGCACTAACTACTTCCCATCATACCAGCAGCCAGATTTCTACAAAGGACAGAAAGTCTCCACATGGGCAGCCCTCCACATGCCACCACATGCATGGCACATCCATAGGAGGGAACCTCCTGGTCCCCTTGGATTGGGGTGACTTGGGGAAGCTCTTGGGAAGGGTCTGTAAGCTGAGTTGAAGGTGATGGGGGGAAGGGAGAGATGGAAAGAAAAGAGAAAACTACAGGGGAAGAAAAGGCAAGACCAGGAAAGAGGAGAAGTCAGGGGATGCTAACAGAAGTGCTGAGAGCGAATGCAGCAGGGAGGGGACCCGGAGCCACCACACAGGCTGTGTCAGCAGTAAGCCGGGATGAAGCACAGGGAGAGTGGGGGACATGTGTCGAGCAAGGGAAGAGACACAGTGGCCACCCTACCATCAGATTGGTGAACTGCCACTGCTAACAAGGTTTCCATCACTGCTTGGGGGCCCCTGTGGGGCTGCTGGCAACATAAACCAAAGTCACAGTGATTATGGACCCCTCAACGAGGTCATCGGAGCTGCATTTATGACCCGAGAGGCTACCGAGTGCAATGACGGGGAATCCCAGGCCCTGAGACCTCGGAAACAGCTCCAACTCCAACTTTTGTCTGTGTGATTCAGAAATAATGGACAGCTTTTCCTGGCCTTCCATGTTATGTGGAATCATTTCATAGACTTCTCACTAGTTTCCCTTTAATGGAAAGGGCAAACACATTCCAGCGACAGTGATGGTCAAGTGCAACAGTGCTAACACACCCTGTGGGTCCCTTCTCAGCAGGTCCAATCCGTGACCTTCAAAATCAAAAGCCAACGCCCTCCAGTTCCGTGTAATGCCTCAAACTAGAACCCGAAACACCAAGTCCTCTGGAGTTTTAACAACGAAAAGCCTTGCTCTGGAGCATCAACAGGACTCTAGATTCCACATGTGTGAGACCTGGTTGGCTTCAAGAAGCTGAAGGGAACTGCGCTGCTTATTTTCATGGAGACCGTAGCGGTGTGGCACAGAGTTTCAACTTGCCAAACAGCTGAGACTCATTGCCCAAAGCCGTTAATATTATTTATTGTGTGCCTCCACGGTGAACACTCACCTGTGCATGTTTCGGATAGCATAGCTGACTTGGGGATCCCTCATATATGTATGCATAATTTCATAAATGGCAATGTGTAAAACATGCACTTAAAAAAAAAAGGAACCAGGAGCATGGGCTTCTATAATATGCTTTTCTGAACATATTCTTTGCTGCACCACAGCCCAGAAACATGACCCACCTAGTCGCATTTCACAGGAATAGAAGAGTGGTCAGTGTTTGACAAGGCGGGCAGTTTACATCCCCATTGTTAGGGTTGATACCCTTTTGACAGACAGCTGTCTGCAGGCTTTTCTAGATTCTCCAAATCTTATTCCTCAGAAGTTATTAGTTGTTCCACTGAAGGAAGTTACCTTCTGTACCAGCCTCCTGGTGGTTTGGGGAAAATCTAAGCAAGTTCCTGTATTTAACCTCTGCCCCCAGTGAGGGCATTGTAAATGTCATGAAGTGAGGACTGGGAAAGCAGGGGTTTGAATCTCCCCATCAGGGCAATTTGTTTGGTTCAACCCAGGGAGTACCTAGGGGTCACTACCTACCTGTTTTACCAAACAAATTGTTAAATCTTCTTGATATCGGAGAACTCATAGAAAATACAGGTGTCGTCGAACCTAGGGATGTTGACTAGAAACGAGAAAAAAAAGACAATTACATGCAAATGTGTCAGACCAAGGCTCTGCTTTCTCTCTAGTCAGATTCATTTGCTGCCCTCTAGTGGTCACTGTCTGAATATCATCCCACTTCAAGGTGAGAGCAGGGATAAGCATGAATTTCTCCTTAAAACCAGTCAAGTGGGAGCCCCATGAGACCTGGAATATCATCACCAGTATTAGAAAAATTACTTGCAAATGTTTTTTATTGTTATCGAGTTTAGTATCTTCTGACATATGTAAACAGGGAAATATATTTGAGTGCAATTGTTATTTTCCAAAACAAATTATAGAAAATTCTATTCATCATTATTTCTCAAATTGTGTTCTCTACGGCCCTGAGTTTCATCAGACACTCCTTGCTTATTTCTCATTGAAATTTGATTTTAACCTCCAGTTGACATTATCTGTGCTATTTGTCCCCTGTTTAAAGATGTGGGGACAGCATCTTAATGATAGTTCCATAGCGTGTGTTGAATCAGGCGAGAAGCAAAAACATTGGAATCATCTATGCCGAAACTAGTTGTGGAGAGAGAAGGGTTTTCAGAAGTCTCTACAAAGGAAAAAGTTACCTTGGAGTGCTGTGAAGACCATCTTGACAGAGAAAACTTTTTCAGCAAAGCTTCCTGTACCTGCATTGTTTAACAACAACAAAAAGCCATCGTAAATTCTACTTCCCATGAGCACCTCAGACTTTTCCAGGAGCATGAAATTGTCATGTTCTTACCTTCTGGTCCCAGAGGCACCCAAAGAGCAGAATGAATAGTCCCTGAAAAAAAGAATTGGGAAGAAGTGCATTTCACTTATATTCTATTGTTCAGCAAAATAGGAAGTGTTGCTAACCTGGCACTGAATTTGTACTACCTCTTCCCACACCTGTGTTTATGGAGTGAGCCTAGTACATGTTGTTAAAAGAGATGCAGTAGGTCCACACCAAGGGACTTTAAATGTTTTATGTTATCAGGGCAGTTTCTGTTTCCTTATTTCCCCCCAATTGTGAAGTGGAGATCCTGCTGGTTATGCTATTAGACATACCTCTTATGCCTACAGCAGCCCTCACATAGTATGATGAGGGCCTGAGCCATGGAGTGGAATCATCATTTACTTCTAGTCAAGGCATATTATAAATGTCATCAGACATGAGCTCTATAATTTGGAGTCTTGGGCCCATTAGCAGAAATTAGAATTTGCATCCAGGGGTGTTGTCTCAACTTCACCTCCAGACCTCCTACTTCCTCACCAGCTCATGGGGGGCTGTGTTTCCTACCCACCCACTCATGAGATCAGAATTAAGCATTTCCCTCCTTGTGCCCCAAAGGCTTGTGGTCTGTACCTCGGCTGAAGCTTTCTAACCTATCGGCTTGTGTTATAATGAGTTATGCACTGCAAGAGAACAAAGAGGGCGCCTTTTCCATTTTAGCTCAATAGAACAGAATGTCCACCTTACATAAGACATTCATTCTTTTGTTCTTCAGCAAGTGCTTCCAGAGAACATTCTATGTGGTGCATAGCATTCATTTCATTTGTCAAATGGTTATTTTCAGCACATAGTTTGGGCCAAGGTCATTTTTAGGTACTAGGTATATAATGATAGATAAGACCAACGCAGTCCCTGACTTTTCAAAGAGTGATCTCATTTAATGCTTGTGGCAATTAACTGGAGCAATTACTTGGTTATATAGAGGATTTTTTCTTTTAGGAGGTAATAGATGGCATCAAGATAATGTTGGGTAAATAGCAAAATCCAGTGTAGGTAAGGGACTCTCCTCCTACTTGTACTACCAGGGCATTTAGAAGAGAGCCACATGTGCAACTAAATTATAATGCAGGTGATAAGAGGTATGAGGTTCCATGGGAACAGAGGAACGTGTCCTTTCTACCTTGTTGAGTTCTTGTGATTACTGCTCTTTAGGTCCTCCTCTGAACTAAAATCCTTCCCCATTCCCACTCCTGTTTGTGTTTCTATCATTAATTTGTCCCACCTGCCTAGATACTACCTGCAAGGCTGGCACTTCAGAACTTACCTGGAAGGCATTGAGGAGGGTAAACACAATATGGAACACAGCACTGCTTCCCTGGAACACAGTGGCGAGACCAAAACCCCAGGTGAGCCCCAAGAGTGGTGTGAGGACCCCAATGCTCTTGGTGATCTGAAACAGGCTGTTCTTCTCCTGCTTGTTGGGCTTGTCTCCAATGGAAGGTCTTAGGATCTTGGTGATGACCACAACCGTGATGGTCATGTTCACCACCACGATGATCAGCGCTGGGATGACGAAGGCCAACAGAGCCTTGGTATCCTCCCAGTTGAGCCAACAGGCATTCTTCCGCGTGTAGACTTCCCTAGGCTGCGTGGCACCCACTGTGATGACGGAGATGATAAGAGGGCAGCCATAGCCGAGAGAAAATGCAATAGTCTTCTGAATGGATTTGCTTGAATCATGCAGGATGAAAACCAGGCGGTAGAAGAGCATGAGGCCCAGAGTCAGCATCCAGAAAAAGACGCTGAGGTAGAAGAAGTGGATGAAGAAGGTGGCAGCCACACAAGCTGTCTCATTGAGTACATAGTGATGATCCCGGATGGTGGAGGCCACAATGAACCAGATGTCAGCAACCAGAAGGGAGGCTGCAATGTTCACTATGCAGATGTGACGCATATAGGAAGTCCGATTCTTGGTCACTGACTTCCACACCACAGCTTCCACAACTAGACAGGCTGCTAAGCTCAGGATGGAAAAGCACAACCCAATGTAGGAAATGATATCCAGCAGTATTTTCAGGAGAGAATCAGGGTCCGGGGAGTCAGGAGACATGAGGATGGAGAAAGATGTTAGGTGGTCACAGCTGCACGAGACACTGTCCCCATCGACTTTCGTATAGCACCCACTGCTATCCCACCCTCCTGTATAGTTGGCGAGGCTGAAGTTCCAGAAGACACATTGTGGTTTCCCACCTAAGGACTTGTTGTTCTTAAAAGTCATTGAAATCCTGAATGGAGCGGTTATTTTGTGGCTGACAGTGGTTGTCATCACTAAGCTGTTGGCAAAATTCTTCCCCTGAGTATCCTGGGCGAGGATGGTTTTGAGAGTTGGGAAAGCCACGGTGACAATAGATGTGTCTGGCTGCAGGTTCTCCACATGGCACTCGTCAATAGTCACATCGCCCCAGAGGTCGGAGTCTGAGAAAACAAACTCCTGTTTGTAGGGTTTTGGAGAGCCAGATTTTATTACCATGCCCCTCATCTGCACGTTAGTGTGGGAGATGGGCAAAACGGTGCTATCTTCTGACCGTAATGCTCGGGAAAATCTTTCCACCGAATCTAGTAGCTGTGAGCTGTGGTTGGTCTGTTGCTGTTGTAACACCTTCCATGTACTCAGGATGGGCTTGTTGAGGATGACATTGACCGTAGAAAGAACATTCTGTAATTGACATGACATGGGATCAAATCAAACCAATTCTTTCCATTATACAAGAGAAAAAATACCATCTCTTTGGAAGCTGATTGAGTGAGTATAGGTAAGAGGAAAAGGAGGCATCATAGGCTGTGGGGACCTGGGACCCACCTTCTTATGGCAGGGAGTTAGCAGAGGATGGGTTGGTCTCCAAGACAGTGAGACTTAGTTAAAGATTCAGCAAAAGTGATAGTGAGAACCACCCACTAAGGCCAATTCAGTAGGCTGGCAGAGAGCTTCATTAATTGTTTTATTTTATCTTTAACCTCAAGCTTGTAAAGGCTTTTTGGTGGCTGGCATTTCACCCACAAGGTAGTCACAAAAGACCCTCTCATATGCTGAGCATCAAATGAGCAATGCTGTTGTTGTCAAAAGCATCTTTCTTTTTTTGCTAAACATTTTGATTCTCTCTCTCATAAACTCAGGCTTGTCATTTTCTATGTGTGCCTTCTCTCAATATAATCTCTCTACCCTTTTTAAACTTTTGTTCTCTGAAACTATGAGCCCTATAGTTAGTCGACTAGTGGCCCCAAAAATGACATGTTCCATACACAGACCCTGTGAATGTGACCTTATCTGGAGAAAGGGTCTTCAAAGATGTAATTTAGGTAAGGATCTTGAGAGGAAACCATCCTGGATTACCTAGGTGAGCCCTAAATCCAATGACAATTGTCCCTATAAGAGATAGAAAAGGAGAAGATAAATGGAGGAAAGAAGGTCTTGTGAAGAGCAAGTCATAGATTAGAAGGAGGCAGCCACAAGCCAAAGATAGCCTAGCACTACTAGAATCTGGAAGAGGTAAGGAAAGACTCTCCTCCCCTGGAGCCTTCAGAGGGAACATGGCCCTGCAGACACCTTAAGTTTGGACTTCTATCCTTGAAAACCCTGGAAGAAAAAAATTCTGTCATTGTAAGCCACCCAGTTTGTGGCAATTTGGAATAGCAGCCCTAGGAAATCCCTGGTTGGGTTTGGCCAATGGGAAGCACTGGCAGGAGACGAGATGGTGGGAAAAGAAAAAGTTGAAATAGATTTTTCTACGACCCACCATACCCCGCTCCCCCATCCACACCATCTAAGCACATCTTTGGCAATAGCTATATCCCTCTGAGACTATAGCTCTTGCTAAGTGAGCCCTCCTCCAGGGATTCAGCTTTCACTCAGCTGTGGGTACACTGTTTCCTCTTTCTCCTTTAGTCCCAGGGATAGTAATGGCTCCTAAATGTTGTTGGTCTCTGAATACCTCACCCCCCTCCCCCTTTTTAAATCATGGCTTTATGTCTTGAAACAACCTTTCATTCAAGTCTCTTCATCAGCATTTTTGCAGGTGAATTCTCTTTTCTCCCAGAATTCTGACTGCTTCAAAGTTCATGTTTAGTGCTAGACATTTGAGCATCCTATTCTGAAAGCCTTTGATTTCTACTCTTCCTAGGAAGAAGATAATAGTTCATTCTATTTTAATGAAGATATTAAAGCAGAGATTCACTAAAGAAATCTTCTTAAAGTCACAAAATGAAAATAAGGAACCCCCTGATATCCTAAAAGCCATAGGTGGCAGAGCATGTTATGTGACTCTCATAACTAGGACACCGCTCTGGAAATGACAGAGAAGAAGCTATAATGGGGAGGTGTTATCTCTCTTCACCACAAGTCCTGAGGGGTGAAAAGACAAGACCCCCCAAACTCCTGTAAGGCTTAAACAAACTCACCACCATCATTTCTGAATTCACTTGGATCGGAACTGTTGAGAGCAAATCAAGGATGTTAACAATGGCTCCCAGGTTCCCCGGAGATGAACTGACTTCATGTGCCACCCTGTCTGTGCTGACAGAAAGGTCCTTCAGGTATGTAGGCAGCTTCTTGTCCTGAGTGGGGCTCTTGCTCAAAGCCTAGCAACACAAAAGCCAACACAAACCAATGAAACACTTGTCAATCAGTTTGGTCATTAGATCATGCTGATCCGTCCATGACAAAATCTCTCCTATCCATAGTTTCCTTTTTTATCCATACCCAAGAGTATATCTCATAAAATAACTTATTTTTCTTTTAAACTGTGTGTGCCCTTCAGAATGGAATATTACATAAGACCTCACACATAGGAGAACAGAAAAACATATGTCAACCTGACGACTGATTGAGAAAATAAAAGGAGGTGTGATTGTTAGAGAACTAGATTAAAGTTGAATGAAACTGATACTCAGATGGTCCGTATGGAAGCACATTGGCTACTCTTTCCTTTTTATAATCATTTCCTCTGTTGGGTGACTGTCCCCATTTTCCTGGAACAGTTCTGGTATATAACTTCTGTCACCATGTAATTATTAACAGACCCTCTTTTATTTTCTAAAAGTGTCCTGGTCTCTATGATAAATGATATTGTCACCCTATCTGTAATCATCACACTTGTGTTTTCTATCTAACTCATACTTAAAATTAAAGAATTAACTCAGGTCAGATCTTCTCTATGAAGAACTTTGATGAGTGTTCCAACACTGAAATTTATTCCTTTGAATGCATAAGTATTCATCTTACTTAGTATACTTCACATTTGTGATATTTTTATGAAAGTCATCTTGTATTCTAATTTCAATGTCCCCAATTAAATATAAGCTCCTTAACAATGTGAAAAATATGTTATATTTCTTTTTGTTCTTCTCATATCCCATAATGTCTAACATAGTACAGTCATCTGACTTGGGACACAGTAGGTTTCCAACAGTATATGTTGAATGGATAAATCAATGGAATGTGATAGGCCAGCATGCCTCTTTTATATTGACAATGTATCTAAGTATCTAGAATTGGTACCATGGTCCAATGTTGAGTCCAAATTATGCTTTCTATCTTTCTCAATTAGGATAATTTATATCTCCAATGCTTTGTCCATCATGGTCCAACTCAGATGCCAAGTTTTTCAAGCAGCACTTCCCGATTATCCTAACCAAAATTAATGTATATTTAATGTCATATTATCTATCAAATCAGATTTGGCCTCTTTACCCTGATAGCATCTATAATAATGTTTTGTACATAGTAGGTATTTTTAATGAATTTGGTATAAGACAAGAGGAGAACCAGATAAAGCATAAGTCAATATCACCTCTTTTCCTCAATTCTCCCTCCAAGGGTGAGAGAATTTGGAACCAGCTGCCTGAAGATGTCACCATCTGCTATAACCCCACTAGTTGCCTCATCAGTATTTATTTATTGTAACTCATGGAATTTTAGGAGTCGCTAAGTTTCAATGACTTAAGTATGAGATGGCATTTATCTATTTTGATGGAAAGAAAAGAATTTTCCCTTACTACATGACAGTAATCTCTATTCTAGGTAAGAGAGGTAAGCTAGTCCCTTCTTCTGTAACTACTGGTTACCTCTAAGGATTGAGGAAATCTCAAACCTGTAAAAAGTATAAAGCCCAACTTTTTTTTTTTTTTTGCAATGGGCAATCTTATTTGTTTATGTTGCTCCTCTTTCTTAAAAGATTAGAGCTATTTGCTTAATATAAAAATTATTCAAAGGACAGCAGGTAGTGAGGATAATACTACCTACCCCTTGCAGGCAACACATAGAAGGTACTGACTGAGAAGACAAGGTAAAGGTATATAGCTGTTTTTAAAGCAAAACACATATTTTGTTACCTCCATATTTGTATTTAAACCAATTTTAAGCATTTCTCGGTTTGTCCTTTTTTTGGAAAGAAACAAATAAACGTAGTTTTGAGAACAACACAAACCAGCCCAAAGCCCCTTTTCCTTAGTGCTGAGACATGATAAGCCAGACAGATGCCCCACGAAGACCTCAGAGTCAAAGGTTTGAGGATCACCTTGGCCAGCTGGAGCAGGCTGTTTATTGGGGCAGAGATGCAGTCGCTTTTCTTCACCTCCCATTGGGAGCCCACACATTTGTAGGTCATGACCCCGCCAACAGGACTCGCAGGGCTGCTGGACAGGTTTGAGAACCGGCAGAGCTTCGGGATCACTTTCCCAGGCTCCCCCACACCTATTATGGGATCTCGACATGTGATGTTCTCTCCTGCATTGGAAACGTGGAGATAAAAGGGACAACTGAGAGGAGGAGAAAAGAAAGTGGGAATGCGGTCTGACCCAGGTAGAATTTTGATGTTTAAATTCATTTTTCCCTTTACTTTCAGTGACTTTTTTGGAAGTAGCCAATCTTTATGTTGTCCCTGGCTTTCCAAACCCTCTTAATGTTTTCCATATGCATCTGACTTTAATCTGCACTTGCTTTTCCTAACAGGATTTATTTCCCACCTCCAGGCCCCGGGAAACTTCTCTCTGCTACCTGGACTATCTCAGCCATGGAAAATAATGAGAGCTTAATATGGGCTCAGCCAAATGAGAGATATTCAGGTTTCCAGGAGCCTTAGGGATATAATGCCTTCACCCAAGGGATTCTCAACTCTGGCATCTTAGAATCACCTGGAGAGCTCAGAAAATACCAACATCCAGGCTCACTACAGTCCAAGTAAATCAGAATCCCTCCAGCTGGAATTCAGGCACGTGTCTGCCCTGTGCAGTGTGTAGCCTCCCAGACTCAGCTGAAATATGATTTCATCTGCACGACTTTCTTGATCACTTCCTCCCCACCTATCTATTACCAGGCAGCCTCTCTGGCCACCCACAAAGTCTCTAGTTTAGCACTTACATTCTTGACAACATCTATCTCTCCCCGAGCATGGAGCTAGGAAATGTGGCTTATTTCTTTTCAAATCCCCCATCCTTAGCCTAAGGCATGCCATAGGAAGGTGCTCAACATCTATTATAGAATGGATGAATGTGGGAGTGAATAAATAGGTAAATTCCTGCCCATGAGTACAACGCTTTAAAATAATTGAAAATGGTCTCACCAGGCACCAGATTCAGCTTCATAGACCGGCTCCGGACTGAATTATTAGCGGCATTGGTGAAGTGGCAGAACACGTTGACATGTTTTGGACACCAGGAGACTATTGATTTTGCCATGAAATTGAATGTGTAACACGCTTGCTTTCCATGAACTTCTTTTGCTAAGGCAGAATGTTTGAAAGAGTTAAGTCACAACATGAGTCTCTGAAGCACACATTTTGTTAAAATGATCCTCTATGGATACACTTGTGCAAGAATTCCCCAGGAATGTGCTATAATGATTTTTAATGTGGTTTTTAAAATGCCTCCAGCTTACAAGTAAGCAAGCCCACACTTGCATGCATGCTAGCAAGTCCTCACCATTCTGTGCTCACACAGTTGGGGACACTCAGAATGCCTTTCAGAATGTCCTAGGTAAATCCCATCAGGTCCTGGGCCTTTATCCTGTCTTGCCTTCACCATATTGGTTGAGAGTCACCTTTTTATGGATCTGTCTCCTCCACTAGACTAAGAGGTCTTGAAGAGAAGGTACCTGGTCTTATTTTTCTTTCCACCTCCCAGGATCTAGTGCAGTGTTTGGCACATTGAGAGAGCACTGGATGAATGCATGTGAAACACAGAATGTTGAAATGTCTGAATGTTTCAGTGTCCAGATTGATTCCAGATTGATACCATGCAATCTTCTCTAAACTTTCCAGGCTCACTTGGTCCCTACTTTTCTGAACTTCCATTGTTCTTTTGATCTGTATTGTACATTTGAATAGTTATTGTTATATGCATTGTTTTTTATGACAAGAGCTTGTCTACATATTAGTATATGTGCCCTAACTGCTTTTTCTCCTTTTCATGGCCTACTTCGATGTTTTGCATTGAGCAGGTCTTCAAGAACAATTCTTGAAAGAATAACTATAAATTGCTCATGATGGTGTCTGTGTTTTGACATTTGGGTGTGTGAGTTCATATTTGGTTGACCTTCATTTGTAGGAATCCTGAGGGATCTTGAATGATGGGACATTCTACCAGAGAGTATTTGAGCTTATTTTTTTACCAAGTGCCATAGGGTGCTACCAATAGACCATTTCACCTCTTCAGTTTGGAGTTCGTGGACCACATAGGTAGTATAAATTCAAACTCCCAACCTGAATGAGGGCAAGGCAGTTATAATTCTCTGGGAAAGTTTTTGCTCACCTAGAGATAAGGCTAAGTTCTTAACTCTGGCAGGTGAACTTTGCTTTTCTAGTGTATTTTTTAAATGACCCTTTTGAGGGTCCTGGCATTGTGCTGGTGGGCTAGGGGTGCCTTAGTTATTGCATAGAGTGGAAGACCTTTTCTTCCATGGCCTGCAGAGCCTTAAAAGCCAAGGTTCTGGGTTTCTTATATTGGCAGATGCCTTCGAGGAAGCCTAACTTTAGCTAAAACATTATCTCTAGGTTTTTCTCTATGTTTGGTACTTGGTTATCTCTCTTCCTTTCTTGCATTCTCAGCTGTGCATTTAAGAGGATTTGTGGTACTTTTATGGTATGTTGATTCATAGCTTGGAGGGAGGGCCTATCAGAATGTCTGGTCAGCTATGTTGAGGAAGTGGAAGACTTGTGAAGGTACTTTAATACTTTGATACAAACTCTCAAGATTTTGCCACAAGCCAAATAAAACAAAAGAGAAGGTAATAATGGCTTTTGGAATTCACTCTGTTATATTCTGTCTCTGAAGCAATCCCATGTCTACTTTAAGAGTAAACTTTTAGACTCTCCCTGTAAAAAATACTATGTCCTAACAACTCAGCAGTTGGCATCTTACCAGCAGGAAAGGTCAGGGTGTCCACTTGGAAAGTGACTTTGTAGTCTTCATCCTCCTCCACGCAGCACCTGAAGCGATGGGACCCTGTGCATGGAATTGAAGCTTCCAAAGGATCAACCATGATGTTTGACTCTTGAGGCAGCGGGTGAACAGTGACATCTTTGGTGGTGACACTGTATGATTTCCTATATCTAAATATGCATTGATAGGTTCCTGGATGGAAGGAAGCAAGAATAAGATGAAATTAAGTCATCACTCCCAAAAGGTGTTCGCTGAGATTAAGAAGAGGCTTAGTTGCCCTGTCAAGACTTCCTGGACAGTGGGTAAGAACATGCTTGATAGACTCTCCTCCTGAGTGCTCTATGTCTGTATTTGAAAGACTAACTGAAGGCCACCTAAATATTCACTTACTTTCAAATAAAATTAAGTGGCTTATCCAAATTCATACATTCTGTTAGGGGGAATCGGATTTCAAAACAGGTTCCCAATACCTACTCCAAGGCTCTTTCATTAACCAGGGAATGAATGGGAAATTTGGTGTGTGCTGGGGTGGCAAGTTCTTTGAAGAGAGTTGTCACCCAGGTGGAACACTGTGATGCCCTCTCTTTCCATCTCTGAGTAGGCTCCTCAATTTCCAGGACCCCATGGCACCACTGAGAGAGAGAGAGAGGGAGAGATTTCTTGGGAGAGCTCAGCCTCTGTACTCTGGAATGAGATGTCTGATGTCTCACTCTTATCTAGAAAAGTTTAAAAGTAAGATGCTGGCTGACCTTGCTGAAGTAAAAGGGGAGGCAGCAGCAGGAGTAGCCTGCATGCTCAATTTTTGGTGTGGCAGAGTGGACCGTGGACAGTACTTGGGTTGAGTTTCTTGAAAGGACCTTTTCCCACTGAGTATTAGGGCTCATCAGAGGCTGAGCCACCATTTGAGCACCTATCATGGGGACAGTACAGGAGATAAGAAGAGTACCTACAATTTAGTAAGACCCTTTTTTAATTTTATTTTTTATTTTACATTTCTTCTCTTTGTTCCAAGTCTAGAGAAGTCAGAAAAGCCACTAGCTGGAGGGAAATCAGGCAGAACAAAAAACAAGAAGAAACTCCTTTCAATTCTGTTGGGAGGGAAGGGAAATTTAAATTCCATTCAAATGAAAGTGTAGTTGAGTTAGGTAAGACTAGGTTTTTTTAGCACTTGAGTATGAGAATGTTTAATAAATGCCTGTAACTGGGAAAGCTATGGCTCCTCCTAAGCTATTGCCCAGTAGAAGGAAAGAGCAACTTGGGCAGAACTAGGTGTGAGTTCGCCATAGGAGAAATATACTCTCATTTCCTGATATTTTACTACAGCCAAACAATAACCAATTATTTCTACAATGTTGCCTGGTCTTCATAGGAAAAAATGAAGAAGACCGGGGACTCACAGAATCTGGGCTGATTAATCTTACAATTAATGAAAGATGTCAGAGTGAAGTGGTTCAGAATTAGCCACTAGCCAGAGTTTCACCCTGGCACTTCCATTTACAAGATGCATAATCTTGGGCAACTTACTTAACCTCACTGAGCCTCAGCTTTTCCATCTGCAAAATGGGGATAATAATAGCATTATCCTCTCAGTTTACTGTTTTAAATGAATTAACATACTTTAACACTTAGGACAGTGTCTATCACATAGTAAGAGTTCAATAAATGTCAGCTGTTATTACAGTAGCTCAATCAAATTCTCTTCCCCCTCCCCCTCAAAGATTTGCATATCTTCCCAACATGAATAATGTACAGAGAAATATAGGAAATAAAAATGTTCCTTCCTTTGGATCCAGGCCTAATAAACCTTTTACCTACCGTATTTGCCGGCGTATAAGACGACTGGGCGTATAAGACGACCCCCTAACATTTCCACTCAA